GTTTTCCAAGTAATGTCCAGAATTATTCAGACCTTAACATTTCTTGACTTCCTGTAAGCTTGGCAGTCTTCTAAATTCTCTTCATAATGGTTCAGATGAGCATTGATATTTAAACTTGGTAACAATACATGTGTATTAGGCCTTTATTTGGTAGACTACAACTCCTTTTTAGTTACTTGTTTGGTTTTGGTTAATTCATCACAAAACTGATATACATGAAAAATTACACTCTTGATTGGCTGACTAGGTGTCTTTTTCATGTGTCACTAGTACAAAAGTAATTACTCAAGTACAAATGTAAGCCACTGGTAGGCTCAGCAACAATAGATCACACTTAAAACTAATCAGATTTACGCGAAGTAGATTGTGCTGATTGATACACATAGTGGCTGATCAAAATAAACAAAAGCTTGAACTTTTTTAGGTGTATTGATAGAAACTGACAAAATTACATTCCTGAGTTAGATTTCAGCTGAAGGACAACTTTTGATAGCATGTCAAGTTGACCATTAACATGATGACGTTAAGTTCACCTTTTCATTTCATGTCTCCACATAGCTTGAATTTGGGAAACACACTGGCATGAAACGATATCAATAATAAGAAAATAATTAGAGTAAACATTTTGCTCTCAACCAACTGAAAATATAATTTTGTGCCCTAATGGATGATAGAAACCTACACTCAGCATTGTGTTACTTTACATGTATGTGTTGTAGTTCAATTTTATCTTTGGTTCAAATTTTATTTTCCTTTGTTTCAAACTCATTATCATACATTAACATGACCGTGAACAAAGGAGATGGATCGATGTTTTTTTCGTGTCTCTGCGATCGAGATGGGTGTTACGAAAACTAAAACCCTCGAAAACTAAGACCTAAGATCTGTCTTAGTTTTCGAGATTACGAAAACTAAGGCCCCCAAAATCGAAGCCGTCGAAACACAAAGTGAAATTGTAACCAAAAGAAGTCTAATCTGTCAAATTATCTCCTGTCCGATCCTTTCCACCGAGTTGTAGGTCAAACGTAACGTCTTCCTTGCCGCCATTGCAAAATAACAATGACAACGACATTCCAGCCATAATTTAAGTTACATTGAAGGTTGGCTAAGAGTCAACAAAGAAAATATGCATTTGACCAAAATTGTTAACTGAGTTTTTGAAATTTTTCATTTCAGTGCAATCTTTGCTATTGATAGACAAGTAAATGCTAACAGTTCTCAGGATAGAATTAACAGAACGACGCCAGACATATGGATACTACATTGATATTCTTGTGTAAGTAAAAAGACACTTTTACGGTATTCGGAAGCTTAAGTGTTCTTTAACATTACATTCGTCAACTGTAATAGGGTTATGATCTGCTGGAACTTTCATAGAGGCCTTGGCAACGGTCTAACGTTCTAACGGGGTGAACATGACAAAACGCATGCAGCGATCACGTTACACGCTAGTAATCTTTTTCGCTCCAACCATGTCTAGGCACTCACTAAGATTTTTCGAATTGCTCACTATTTTTTTTATTTATTTAGAGATTTACCATAAGATAGGTGTAGAAACAATAGGACTCTAAGTTCCCTACTAGGTTTTTACACCCCGGAAACTCAACCCCAAAAATATAGTTTAGATTATTAGGATGAACCCAACCCACTACGAAGAAAGGAGAAAAAAATACAAAACATATATGGAAACATTAGTAAGACTAGGATCAATGCACTTTAAAAACTTATCTTCCATCCAAAGGCAGCCTAAAAAAAATGTTGTTTTCAAAACAGATTGGTATTCTGAAACTCATCACTTTTTTGAACTTCACCAAAGACTCGTGATCGGGGCAAAGTACAAGTTGGGCTACCTACGAAGTGTCACTGCATTGTGAAACGGGATTTTTGACGTGTCTGCGATACATAGACAAGAAAAACAGGGGGGGAGACGTTTGGATGACGAGTCGCTTTAAAAGCCATGTGCTGTCTCATTTCCTTGTCACATTTTAAACGAACTGCGTGCGCCCAAATGTTATCAGTACCACACATCTTGAAAGAACAAGCGCTTTCAAGATATTTCTGCAAATTGCTCGATGGCCACTAAATCATAAAGGCAAAATATACGTTCAAGTATGAAATCTTTTAGATAAAGGAACTCTCGCTGTCTGGTAACTGATGCCTACCGTTTTTGAATTTCTCTTCTCTGCGATTGAAAAGTTGTCAATTTTCGTTCGAATTCGGATTCTAATAAAAGATTGGGAAATTTCGGTTTTCATTCTTGTTACTACCTGACAAATTAAATCGGTGTCACCCTAAAATAATTTCTTCCTTAGTAGCAGAAATGAAATAAAGTAAAAAAAAAAAATTATCTGACTCATTATAGTTCAAACTGAAACATTCTATGAGAAATAATGCTAATGCCAGTTTAAGATACATTTGCTGACTTTGGTTCAATATTTTGTTGTTTTAGTAATTATTAAAAATACCACTAAGGCTGTGAATGTGACGGAGTGAGAGTCAGTGTCTCTGAACTGCACCATTGGTGGCGATGGAAGTTATACTTGGGAACGCCGGGATGGAATCGAGATCGAAAACGCGAAAAGACAGGTGATCCTACTCTCCTACTATTTTCTCAGCCGTGTCACGTGAGCGTACATAACAAGGAGAATCCAGTTTGTATTCGCTGTCCTTGTCGCACGTCTGTTGTTAAGTGTTTTGGTAGTAGACAATATCTGTCCTACTCATCTGGTCATATTTTAATCCAACCTTCTTGGAGTCTCTCAAAAGGTTTCACCCACCCATCTCACCGTATTGCCTAACTGCACCCCCCCTGCACCTGCAGACTGTAAATTCAATTGAACCAATTAGTACTAAGAAGCTTAGTATGCAAAAATGACAAAGAATTATGGAATTCATTGCTCCATTCCTGTAATCTAGTTAGTTTAAAAACACTCAACGCTGTTGCTGTTTTGTTGAAGGTTAAAGGTGGGGGACGACTGCTTGAAATAAAGAACACGACCATTATAGATTCTGGTGCCTACACCTGCAAAATAGGAAAAAACTCTCACACCATGATACTGCAGGTTGTAGGTTGGTAGATAACAATGAGCCTTTAAAGGTAAACTCACTTTGCTTTAGATTCAAAGGGCTTGGCCAAGAAACTCATCAGATAATTTTCGTAAACTTCAAGCGAACCCATCGAGCATCGCACTCAAAGTTCCGTTCGCGAAGCCGAAGAAGATGAAAGGTTGGAGAAGATATATCAAAACGGACCGTTAATGACTACAAAATATTAGAGTAGTGCCCTAGAAAAATGCAAAAGTAATAATAACAAGCCAATAAGAAACAAGGTTAGCGAAGGATGGAGAGGATTAAAAGGGATTTCAAATGGCTGTGAAGTGTTAGTGGGAAAGAGAGGGAGACCCCAGCACACCTCCAGACGTACGAGAATTGCAGAATTAGAGAGGAAACATCTCACGTGGATTGAGGCAAAGGGCACTGCTCAAAATAGGGTTAGGTGGTGCGCTCTAGTTGAGGACCTATGTTCCATTAGGAACGAAGAGTAATAGAGAAGAAGAAGAAAAGTGAAGTGTTAGTTCGGTTATTGACAAAACCTCAAAGAGGCAGTAACATACTAGGAAGGAAGAGGTATTGTGAGTTGTCCATTGTAGAGATGAGCATTTGCTTTTTTATTACAGTTCAAGTCAAGGTGGAAATGGCCTTGAAGGTTGAAAATTACAACTACACAATAGAACTGGAGAATAAGTCATCGCCACAATACAAGGAAATCGAGGAAAATCTTACCGCTGAGGTATGACTTGTTTTCCTCCTTCATTCTTTCCATTCCCTGTCTCTCTCCTTTTTTTTCCTCTTTGAGTCTCCTCCCTTTTTTCTATCCTCTCCCACCCTTCCTCCTCCTTTTCCTTTTCTACCCGTTATTTCTTCCTCTCTTCTTTAATTCCTTTCTCCCCCTTCCACCTTACACTCTCTCTCTCACTTTTTCCTTTCTCCCTCCCTTCTTCTTTTCTCCTGGCCCAATTCTTCTCTTTCCCTAGTCCCCTCTCCAGCCCTCTACCATTACTCCCAGCCTCTCCCTCTCTCCAGTCTTTCCTCTTTCCCTGGATTCTTACCTTCCTTCCAATTGTTTGTTCTACCACAGACGGACCCACATATCGTCTATCTCTATCTGTCGCCTCGTTAATAGGTTCGATAGAAAAAAAAGCAAAACCTCTTGTCATGTTTCAGATGGACATCGTTTACAGCGAGACTCCAGGATATATTAGAACGGAGGTTTTGAAAATGACGGGAGTGACAGATTCTTTATTCCGAACTCCACAGCTAGTAACTCAAATTATTATCCAACTGTGCTTCGTAGAGTACCTATAACGAGTACAAATATCACGCGATATTTGTACTCCAGAAATATCCGCGAAAAA